GGTTGTAACAATGAGTGGAGACCGGCTGGTTCCACTCCAATCCCCTGCCAGATTTACTTCGTTAACTTTGTTTCTTGACCCTGAGGGAGGAGCTCTACATCTCAAGGGGCTGTCCTGGAAGACACAGGGAGAAATGTATTAGAATACATGTCGCTTTTTATTGTTGTGTCTGCCCCAGTTAGATTCTCCCTCTGTTTGTCCTGTTTACCCCATTTTCATTGAAAGTAAAAGTAAGGAAAATCTCAGTTTTGGATTGTCCCCAGAAAAGTAATAGAGGGGAAATCTTCAAATAGGGACACTAGTTCTGGTGACCTGAAAAAAAAAAAAAAAAAAAAAAAAAGAAGAAGAAGATGGGTATAACCCTCCCTTACTCTATCCAAAATGAAAATACGTTTTGCCTATAGTTCTAATTTAAGAACATAGTTACAGGAATACAATATTTTTCACTATAAAAAAAGGTGAAGGTTAGGTGAGTATTTCAATTAGGTGTGTGTGCTTGCAATATTTTATTAAAAAATACATTTCTCAGATCATGGTCGTAACTGTTCATGAGAAAAACTCACCTCTATGAAATCAAATTCCTGAAAGTACGGTCCATGTGGATGGACTACACACCCACCACCTTAATCTCAACTCTTCGCTCACTTTAAGGAGCACTGGATCATACGAGAGAGTGTTTTGCTGTCCAGGTTCCCAATGCCTTTCCATAAAGAGACCAGCACAGACTCAGTATGAAATAAAATTACAAATCTTTAACCATAGAGCATAAAAAGAACCCATAGACGCTTTTCAGCCCCACAAAATCTGCGTCTTTGTCATAATCCAATGCCTTTCCCTTCTACTTTCCTGTGACTGCCCCACACCCCTGCCCTCCTCTTTAGCATTATTTCAGTCTTATACCCTTCCTCTTATTGTTCTTATACCGCTTTGCCATTCTTAATACCCCTTGGGTACTTGCAGTATTCGCTTCTACTTGAGCACCACCATCTAACAGACCTACCAGGTGACTTAACAGTCTATGCCAAATTGCAACTTCCTCCTCACTTTGGCCTGCCATAAATGGACTGAAATTCAGCAGGTAAAAGGCCGAATTTTGATCCATGTACAACCAGCATATTGGAAATTTTCAACACTCCGTGCCATCAGCTAGAGCCGCTATCACTGATCAGTGTATTCTAATGGTGGGGAAGTCTGCCCACCGTCAGAATGCAATAGCTCAGCAAAAGCTATTCCCCCATCCACCTCGAATGTGTAGATGGGGGGAATCAGGTCTTTGTTGAACCTGCTGGATGAACAGAGAAAAAAAAAAAATGAAAAAAAAAAAAAAAGTTACTAATGTTTGGCTGCCTTAGAGTAATGTATACTTGGGAAACTCACTGATGGTGACTAGGACTCCAACCTAATTTCATCATAACTGCAAATAAAATTGTCCTTTGTCCTACCGTATATAATGTAATGGCACCGCTGCAAGCTGGAGCTCAATAATCACCTCACCGGTACAAAAGGGGGAGTGATGTCCTCAAATGTCTGCAGTCATGTGGGCACAATGTAAGAAAGGACAGCGCTCTCACCACTCATGGAGTCCTATGTGAAGATGGCCTCAGCTGTCGCTCTGGCCAAACTCTCTGGACGGAGCAACAGCTGAGGCCATCTTCACATAGGACTCCACGAGTGGTTAGAGCAGCATTCTTACATTGTGTCCTTTGTCCTAGCTGGAATTTGACAAAAATTATGGAAACACCCAGATAAAGGAACAAAAAATAGTTACCAATTATGTGTGTTGGACCGCCTTTGGCCTTCAAAACAACCTGAAGTCTCCTGGGAAGTGTCAAATATAAAGTCTTGGATGGTGGATAATGAAAACCAATAACACTCTGAATGCAAAAATCGCTCCAGTTCCTGCAGAGATGCTGGAGGCCGAAACTAGCCCAAAGCTTGTGCTCCAAAATTGACCATTGCGGCTCTAGGATATTGAGGTCCGCTGACTGCAGCACCCAGGGAAGGTGTAGGACTTCCATCTGTATGCTCATCAAACCGCGATTTGACACCAGCTGTGTGAATCAGAGTATTGTCTTGGTGAAAGGCACTGTCTTTGGGACACAATGTCTGTACAAATTTTGGCCAACCAAGTGTACCCCATGGTGCAGTCACTGGCAACAACTTTACCTTTCAGGATTTGTCTGCCCAAACCACGATTGCACTGCCGCCATGCTTTACCGTTGGCACAAGACACTCCTGAAAGTAATCTTGGGAAGATGTTTGCCACACAAACATATTCGGTGGTTGGGAACAGTATAAAATGCAATACAGACCATAATACAGTCTTCCATTGATCGATAGTCCACGATTTATGGGTGTTACACCACTTTTTCCTCTTCGGAGCATATCTGTCACTAGTAGTTTAGCAATTGCAGCTCACACGTGAATGTTTTGCTTATGGAGTTCCCTCCGCAGTTTTTGTTGACACGGGCTTTGGATGACTGAGATTGAGCTCCGCAGTCACTTTTTCAGCAGTTTTTCTTATCCTGGGTCCCAATCCTGCGCAAAGCCCTTTTGTCTCTTTCGGTCAGTTGACCATGTTGACCGTGCTTATGCTTATCAGACAAAGTTTTCCCAGAAACTGTACATGGTGTCATATCCTTTGATGCTGTACCTCGTGACATGGCAAATAGATTGGCAACTTCAGTCACAGATGCACCAACCATATGCCCTGTTTGAAGCTTAGCAAGCTCAGGCAGGACTATTACTAGCAGCAAAATGCAGAGAATGACAAACGTGAGTATTCCCACCGCTTGGCTAGGTGTCTCATCACACAGCAAAAGTAAAAAGATGTTACATCACCACTTTCAACAAGAAAGTCACTTTCACACCTGCAAATCATGTAGTATTTCCATATTTTTAGCCAATCCCTGTATATTTGTTTCACTGTATGCTGGACTATATGTTGTATACTCTGTACCTTGCCATCTCGCTCAAGTAAATTCAATAAAAAAGTATTGTGACAGAAGAAACTAAAATTTCAGTATGGCTGCCATTTGTGTGACCTAATTTTTTTTTTGATCCTGTTAGAAAGTCTTCAATCCTAAAAGGTTTCCAGAGTGTTTTGTAATAGGTTGCCCTCTAGTGGCAATTAGTAAAATTGTATAGAACAGTGTAAACCTGAATAGAAGTAATCCAAAACATTAAATTTCACTAATCCTGTAATTTCAACTAATGCGTAAAGCCTACATTTAAGGGAAGGATGCCTATTGGTGCCTCTCATTTGCCAAATAGGGATTCTTGGAGGAGAGTTTTAAAAGGCAATCATTAAAAGCACTGCAAGAACAGTTCAACAGTTACCAAAACACATTACAGTAAGGCACCTTCCCTCGTCATGAATAAAAGTTTTAAAATCCATCAAACCACTGGCAGAGGTGAGAGACTATAGCAACTATTGCATTGTGAAAACAAACACCCTGCAGTCTCTAGTAGTGTCCAACACATGCACTAAAAATGAGATCAGCATGAGCCCGCTTGCTTTAGGTACCTTCCAAAATAGCAATGGCAGTTTCTATAGTTTGTAAAGTACAGGGACCAGAATTGCCATACTAACTTATGAAATGTACATACATTGGCTGCCACTGATGACCTTATCCTGGGGGGGGGGGGGGGTTTAAAAGTTATGCTGATCCTGACAAATATAACCAAAATGTTGGGTCTCATTGGAATACTACCGTGTTTCCCCGAAAATAAGACACGGTCTTATATTTTTTTGGGCTCAATAAAACACACTAGGTCTTATTTTCAGGGTAGGTCTTATTTTTTAATGCACAGTTTGGACAGGGGGTGCAGAGGTGAATTGACAGGCAGTTGTGGATGAGGGTTACTATAAAGAGGGCTGGCTGATGACAGTTGTGAGCTGCAGTCAGGTGTTGCAGGGGTGAATTGACAGGTGAGTCTCAAACAGGGTGCAGAGATGAGCCACAGACAGGGTGCAGGGGTGAGTTGTGGACAGGGGATGCAGAGGTGAGCTGTGGCTGGGGCTACAGGGACAAGCTTTGGGCAGGAGGTGCAGAGCCGAGCTGTAGCCTTGGGTTTGCAGAGGTGGGCAACTCAGCTCACCTCTGCACCCCCCCAGCTACAGCTCACCTATGCACCATGTCTTCAACTCCCCTGTAAATATACCTCTGCAACATCTGACTGCAGCTCACCTTTGCACATCCCCCCATCCCCCTCCACTGTCCTCATATGGTTAGCTAGCTTTACAAAACACAGCTGTCAGCAGCCGGCCCCTCTCTATAGTAACTCCCGTTTTAGGTCCTATCTTTCCACACAAGTGCACTTACTCACCGCTCCACCTCTTCCCCACTGGCCGGTGATCACCCCTGGGGCATCGCTTCCATGCATTAGGCTGCAGGATGAGATGCCCCGCCCCTACACACTGCATACTGCACCCGCCGATGTCTGTGGGAGCTGCTCCCTGTCCCACAGTGAGTACAGAGGTAGGGAAGTTCTGTGGGAGTCACTTACAAGGGGGATGGTGCTGTCACTTACAAGAGGGACTGTCACTTGCAAGCACAAAAAAGCTGTGTTTCTTTGTTTATAAGAGACAGTAGATATTGATGTGCACAGGGGGGCCAGTTGCAGAGGTGGCGGAACAGCATTCCGCCACGTTCTGGCTGGAAAAAAAGCCCTGATCACAACTAGGTCTTATTTTCAGGGTAGGTCTTATATTTTAACAATTCCCAAAAGTAGTACTAGGTCTTATTTTCGGGCAGGTCTTATTTTTGGGGAAACAGGGTATTGCACATGATTGTTTTCCAGCAAGTGAGTCCGTGTGATAACAAGACAGCATTGTAAGCCCCTGGTTCCTTTTAGAACAGGGTTAAATGGTAACAAACAGCCAAAGACAACAGTGTAAGTTAAAAATTCTATTTATTAGTTTTTAACATATAAAGAGACAAAAGACAAAAACAGTGCTACAACGCAAACAATATTGTACAAAAGTGCTGGACCACTTCTCAGATTTTTTCCATCTTCATGATCAAGTCATCACATATCTTTGTCAGTTCATCATTTTCTTTTGACTGAAATGAGGGGGGAAAGGGGAGAGTTAGTGGCACAACAGTGAAAAGAAAAAATTTACAACTATAGATTCAACTAGAAAAGCTACAATTTCTGGGGAAATTGTGTGAAGTGTTCTTGCCTCCACATATAGTCTACAACTGGAGTGGCTTGAGTAACTGGTTGTGTGGTTGGAGTAACTGTGAAACGGTCAATGGGTGGCGTGAGTTGCAAACAAATGGTAATATTGTGACAACTATCAGGACTATGGCTTAGCTGTGGACATTTTTAGTGGCAGCAGGGATAGCTGAACGTTTTGATATAAGATTTGTGTAGGTGGGCTTGAAAATGAGGGAGTGATGGCAGTTTAGAAATCATGTCCTGATTTTTCAGGTCACACTCTAGCTTTTGTCAGCTCCCACTCTAGTTTTGCACATTGCGCCATTCATTCCTATGGGACCAATTTCACCACAAAAAACGTCGATATTTTGTGAACCATTCGGCGAAACGTTCCACAAAGTAATAGCACACCAATCGGGAACAATCTGCACGTTTCGGTATATTACTGTTTATGTAGTGTAAAAACTGTGGGAGGAGTTAGGGTAGTAAATTTGGCTATAAGAATATATATATGTGAGATAACAGTAAGTGGTCTTGCCATGTAAGAACACTTAAATAGAACTATATCCATAATCAGCACCTTCTAAAAACATCACATGTCCATCTAGAAGAAAAAAAAAAAAAACCTGGTTGTGACCCTGAGGACAGTTGAAGCATCATTAAATAATGCACCCTGTAGTGTAGTTTGGGGTGGGTGGGAGGAATACCACAAGCAGGTTCCCAGCTAGCAGAGAAGACATAAGAGATACCAACCTTCACACTGCACACAAAATGGATATAACTCAGTTTTGACTGGTAAGTAGGTCTGTATAACCAGTAACTGAACAGATCAAGGAAGGTGAAATGCACAGCAGAAAGAACATTTTAGAAAGATGCGATCATTAAAAAAGAACTTTGATTTCCCTGTCAATTATTCAAGGTGGGATTACAGGACACAGAACTTGCTAGGGCTGCCCCCAGAGCTCACTATATAACCCTACCCGCTCAGATCCCACTTTTTAAGCAAGCAGTAAGGAGTGACCAAGACAAGGGCTTGTGTCTTGTATTCCAAGATGAGAAAAAAAGTCAAAATTATCCTACAGTACAGGAGTTTTACGCAGACTACTGAATATACTCAAGCAATAAACTGAGGGGTGGGCAACATAGCTAACAGAACTGTCAACAGGTCCACAAGAACACGAGGTGGAAGAACCCCCCCTCCCAGACACAAAAAAAAAAAAAAAAAAAAAAACTTAGAAGTATGTGAAACTTTTTAAAAAGTCATACCTTATCAAGGTGGATGCTGCATCTGTCCCCTGACTGCTCTAAGGATGAGAACTCAGTGACCTGTTTTCAGCCATCAGCTGAAAACTGGTCACAGGACTGCAGAAAAAAAAAAACTGCACTTCTGTGATGTATAGTAATACAGCCAAAAGAGCTTTGGCTGTACTTAAAGAAGACAGCATGAAGCACCTTGTGGCCAAGGCTTGGACATCCTGGTAGATCTTTGAAAATGTGAACAGAGGACCAGGTGGTGACCTTGCAATTCTGGAAAGCAAATACTGAAAACCTAGGTAATGTAGGGTGCTTTCCTTGGCAGTTTTTTCTTCCATTTTTCCTGAGCCTAAACATGTTCTCCTGGAAAGATCACCTTTGGTAGGAAGGTTTTGGTCTCAAGACCACTGTGTAAAACAAGACATGTTGGCAAATCTTCCCTGTAATAACTGATGTAAGGGCTACAAGAAAGCAAACCTTTCAAGGGAAGTCTTCCAATAAAATCTTTGGTTGAAAAGAGGTCTCCGACAGAGCACCAGGTTGAGATTTCAAGGTGACACAGGAAATCGAACTGGGGAGATTTATACTCTGAAGAAAAAGTCCTGATGAAAGATTGTAAGACAAGAGGTTTCTGGAATAAAATGGTTAAAATAGAAAGCTGTCCCTTGACAGTAAAGTATTCTGGGCAAAATACTAAACAAGACCTAACCAAAGAAAGGCCAAAATATAAGTGAAACAAGTGACTCAGACTCCTGTCTTCGCACCAAGCACTGCATTTGCGATAGTAAACCTTACGGAAGTTGGATTTCCTTTGTCTGAGTAAAGTGGGGAAAAGTCAGAATGGCTTTCAGTCATGCCTTTTAAAACTAGCTACTAATTAGGATAGAAGAGGGGACCCTTGAGCCAGTAGATCTGGCCTGTGGATAAAGCCAAGGCTTGTTCACCAGAATTCCAAGTATGGCTGTGCCACATCCTAATGGACCAAACTGGTGCAATGAGAATCACCTAAACATTTTCCTCCATCTTGTGCAGCAGTCAGGAAGATTTTTTATCAGAGGGAAGGCATAAACCAGCTCGTATTGAGTCCCAGGAATCACCAGAATTACAGCTTGCTGTTGAAATTGTTTTTTTTCCAACCTTTGGAGTGGGCTCTGCACCCAGACAGTTTTTAGTATCGGTCAGTCTGGGTGATGGCAGCTTAAGCCCACCTGCCCATTGTGTACTCCAGGGATGTGAAGGGCCAAAAGCTCAAATGTTTCCATCTAAAAGATCAGCCTTTAGTCTGGCTTTTGTTGCCCCCTGAGAGGGTACAGGTGGACAATGCCACCGCAGTGGCCTACATAAACTAACTGGGTGGGTGACCTTTCAGAAGGAAGGTCCGTTATTAGACAATCCCATTTGCTGTCAGTTCCAGGATGTTAAGGGAACGTTTCAACTCCTGTGGGGACCAGATCTCCTGTCTAAGCCTGTAAGGCTGACATCCGCTGTCACCCCCTTCAAGGGCATGTGAAGGAAATCCCTTCAAGTCTAGGGCATGAGAGCCACTAAATCAGGGAGAGCTTTGTATGGCTGGAAAGAAGACATGGGCACACCAAGGATTTAGCCGACTTGTTTCATGTCATCAGTTTATTATATTTAGAAGGCCTGGAGAGAAACTGGGAAAAAAACTGCCATAAAAAAAAAAAAGGAGGGTACCATTCAAGCCCAGAAACCTCATGCAGAATCAAACTGAGGGCTGCCATTTTGACCTAAGGGTCCTTGTGTGGTACTTCAGTGAATCATCCTTTTATAGAGGGAAAGAAAAATTCTGGCTTGGATGGTGTCCAAAAATTAGACCCAGGTACTCCATACAGCAAGGGCTGGAGAGCAGAGTTTTAAAAGTCGACTATCCAGCCAAAGGTTTAAAAAGGAACCGAATTGTCTTCTGGATGTTTGCAGCCAAGTCCTCCAGTAGGTCATCAGCCAGGTAATCTGCTGATTGGAAGGCAAAAAGCGAGGGAGCAGAAATGGAGACTACTTTGAACACATTTGAAATTAGATTGCACCAATCTGGAGTTTGAACCATTGGTAAAGAACTTTTGACCCAGACATTCCCCCTCACTCCTAAGAGTGGGGGTGCTCTTCAATGGGTAACGAAAAGAGAGGCTTAGCCTTATGCATGGAAAGAGTGAAAAACCTAGTGAAGCAGCCTATACATTTTTTGTTCAGAGGGCTGAACGGGGGGGGGGGAAAAAAAACAAAAAAAAAAAAAAAAAAAACTTAGGAGTGAATACCCTTTCAAGGTTGGGTCAGAACTCAGAAGTATACAATCTGTGCTTGTAAAAGTCTTCTGCACTCACCTAACAGAACATGACTTCCCACAGCCTAAACATGTCCCCATGGGCACTAAAAAAAAAAAACCAACTCGCCACATCAGATACTGAGTTCACAGTAGACCGCATTTGGTGCAAAACCATCTTGCACCTCATAATGTAGGAGGAAGGCAAAATTTTCTGCAACCTCCGCTACAAAATTAGAGTACTCAATATTTTCCTTCATAATATCCTCAAGGAAAAGTGGTTCCACTTCTGAATAGGAACCAGGAGAACAGATGAGTAGCAATTCTGACCCCTGAAAACCGAAGGCTCTAGAAGTGCTAAGAGACTAAGAACTCAGACATAGTTGCAGAGAAAAATATGCCTTTGTCATATTATGGGAGTGGTGTTTCTAACAGGACATTACTCCAGGACAACCTTAGAAACAATATAGTGAACTCCCAAATCCTCTGCCTATAATAATGTGCTTAGGTACTGATAGCGTTAAAGCCAGAAAAGGGGAACCCTGTGTTACCCGTGTTTGAGGGAAACATGAACTCTTGAATCAGGTTATACTGCCTGTAGTTCAAGCAGCTGACTAAAAAGGGACTTTACACTTGAAGCTGGAATCAAATGAAGCCTTAACATCCACCTTGCAAATCTGGAAAACCATTGATTGATGCAAAAAAGCCTAAGAGGCATTCACAGATTCAGAGTGCCCCTTGACAGGAAGGGGTGGAACCGGTTACCTTGAGACCATAAGCTTGAAAGGTCTGAGCCACCTAGAGATAGTTAAATGAGAAGCTGGTGCACCTATAGGCTTTACTTACACTAGCAGTTGGTGGCAAAAAACACCGACCAAAAAAAAACCCCAAAACACAGCTCAAGGGAAAGTACTTACAATCAATTTGAAATGTCCATTCTGCTGATGGCTGCTGCGTTAGTTTAAATCTTCTGAAATTTGGGAGTAAAATCAATAGACTGCTACTTCAAAAGGTTAAGCTCAGTCAAGGAATGGAGAAAAAAAAAAAAAAAAAAAAAAAAAAAAGACGCAAAATCAGACAGACATTCTCTATGGCCAATAACTCTGGGCCGTAGACAAAATCAGATCTAGAGTCTGCAGAGAGGCCATTGGGGCACATTTGTTTCAGCAGTCCACAAATAACGGTTATTTGCCCCACAAAGTTTACACGTTTGGCTGAGGTTTGCACGACTGTTGTGCTAGAGGATGCAGCTACACCCAAATTAGCTAAAGTGGACTGCTAGAATTGGATAGGCGCCAATCCAAGCAGCAGACATCAGCAAACATGCTGAAAGCAGCAACAGAGCCACTAGAAAGTGTACTGGGGCACAGCTGGACTGTCAGATTAAAAAAAGTTCCACATGGCTCTTAGAAAGCCAGAGCAGCAGTGCAGAGATGTTTTAGGACCACATGGAGAACTGAGAAAAACACATTTCACCCAGCAGGTGCCAGTGCTCAGTTTTGCAGTGTTAACCCCCCTTATGGCAACCCCCCCACCCTTCCCCCCAAGGAATAAAAAGGTGCCCAGTGACTTATATAATATGTAAAGAGGTAGTTCTTAATGCTTGGCCCAACAGAGATAGGGCAAGTGCTGAGGCAATACCAGTGGCTCTAGACCTAGAAAGTGTTTCTGCGGCTAACTTTTACCAGAAGAGAGTCTAGACATTGCCTCATGTGGAACCCAGTGCCTGAAGGTTGCTTTTGCATCCAGAGCCTGCTGGATAATTAAACTCCAAAATGTGGCACAAACTAGCAAAAAAAAAAAAAAAAAAAAAAAAAAAAAAAGTAGTCTTCACACAGCAGAGCTGAAAACAAGTCCATCCTCCCAGGGGAAAAAAAAAATCTGAGGTATGCTGGTAGAAAGAGGCGTTACCCTGGATTGGCCTACAGTTTTGTTTGCTAGTGTTCCAATCTGTATGTGACAGTGAACCTGCAGATTTAAGATCTCGGTGTCCCTCAGTGCACAAGAAAGGGGACTGACCTTTTGTTCTAAAGTGCGCTCCAGAGACTGGACCTTCATCTGTTCTTTGCGTAGTGTTGCCTGGAGGGCTGTTGCTTCAGCCTTGAATTTGGTCCTTACTTGAGCAATTCCTCATTAGCTCTGTATTGAGAAACAAGCAGATGTCAGTGCGTTTATGGTTGGTATGTGACCTATTTTTAATTCTCATTACCTGAGTTATTGCTTCTCTTGACGCTAAGAAAGTTTGACTGTCAAACAGCCATAGCTCTAGGGGACCAACTTTGGTTTTGGACAAAATTTATCCAATGGCTCAAGTTACTTCATTTGGATCCAATCCTTTGGCTTCTATGCTCTCAACCTTACTCCTTTAGTGTGTTCTTGGGGTCCTACAATTTACCTTCGTCCCTACGAGCCAACTTGACACTCTGGGCTACATTTTCTCTCTTCGTTTTTCCTGTGTATTTGCATTTTTTACTTCTTTGGCATAATCCCATCCAGTTTAGCAGTATATTTTGTTACTGTTTCTATATGAAACAGTTAGTGATCCTTGTTTGATCCTAGTCTCTCAAGTTGTTTCTTTGCTTTTTTTTGGTATAATTTTAAAAAAAATTCAATAAAAATAAAATTATGGGAAAAAAGTTGCTCTATGTGGCTCCTAAGGTCAGGCTATTTACCAATACGTTTCTGTCTACCCCCTTTACTCTTCATAGGGGCACAAAACAGGGCTGACCCATCTCTGGGCCTCTTTGCTTTGGCCATGGGATCCCTGGCTACGGATTCGTGCCAACCCATGTATTCATGGTTTGCGGATGGGGATATTGGAGGACAAGTGATCACTACATGCTGATACCTTAACGATGCTCAGACCTCCCCCTTTGGCAACCACCCTGCAGACTTTTAAAGTGTTACTAAACCCATAACAGTAAAAATCAGTCTGTATATGCAGTAAGACATGCTTGTTATACTCACTGAGGAACCTAAAGGGTTAATCCTCTGCATTGTGTAAAAACGGTTTGATCCTGTCTTTTTCCAGTGTCCCCCTCTCATCTCCTGATAAGACATATCATGTGGAGTCACTCTGCACGTGCTCAGTTTGGTGTGTATTGCTATAGGTTTTTTTTTTTCTTCTTGGGAGAGTGCATGTGATCAGCACAGGGCCAATCAGCACTCTCCAGAGAGTCAGGGGTTCTGCAACCTCCTAGAGCAAAATAAAAATTCCTCCAACAAGCTTTAACCAGTGCTCAAATGAACACTGATAGAAGTCACAAGTAACTGCTGATGAGAAAAAGTATTTAGCAGTTTATATTTACTAAAATAATTACATTTCCATGTTGTGTGTACTGTGGGAGACCAGATAAAGTGAATGCAGGGTCCTGGGTTTAGTAACACTTTAATGATTTTGGATATTATTCCGGCATGAGAATAAATTGATTCAAGTCTATCTTTTTTTCCTCCATTGACAAACCTGCAAACTCAAGTGACAACTAAAACCCATTTATAATGGGTTCAACAGTGAGTACCTGGGTAATCACATCTCCCTGGAACTTAAAGCCATTCTCCACCTTTCGCTATTCTTTAGTTTGGGCCACTAGATGTGCGGTATAAAACCATATGTAGCTGCAGCTACATACAGCATACTGCACTGTTCCGGGTTTGAGCCAAGACTTCTAGTCTTAGACCCGGAACACAGAGTCCATCACAGCGGCACTGAGCCAGAGTTAGCAACGTATTCCATAAATGAACACAAAAGCTTCCTCTGACTGGCCGAGTACCTCTGTGATAGACTGTGTTCCGTTCCGGGTCTAAGACTAGAAGTCTTGGCTCAAACCCGGAACATAGTGCAGTATGCTGTATGTAGCCGCAGCTACATACAGTTTATACCGCACATTTAGTGGCCTCACACGCTAGTGGAGGACAGTTCGTTTGGGCCAAGCTGTAATGTATAGTGAAAGGTGAAGTTTAGCTTTTAGTCCTTTTTGGACCTCAGTGTCACTGATTTCACCAAGTCTCATTGTCCTTGAGTGGAACATTCTACCACTAAGAGAAAAATCCCACAAAAAAATATTTGTATGGTTGGAGTTTATTTTGATGGTATTAATAGTGTTGCACTTCACTAATTTACACAGAGCTCTCTTCCATGAATCACCAAGCCGATCAGCAGGTCCCGGAAATCATTCATTGGCTGGGACCTTCTGATCAGCTTGTGCTTCAACAAATCACAGCACCACTGGACCGGCAGGCGCACGCAGATCACACACTAGGTACGTGATCCAGCACAGAGAGGCCGCTATGCCACATAATAGTATGTTAGGCAGTCGGCAAGCAGTTAAGCAATTTCACTTAAGGTTATCAAGACAATGCACCTGTACAACGAATACATTTTATGTACCGGTTTAATTTTTCTTCTGCATGTGCCTTCAGTGCCTGATATCTTTGCTCTTCCTTCTTAATTCTGGCCAGGTAATCCTCAACACATTTCTTAAGGGCCTCTTCGTTCTAGAAAGACAGTCACAGGTTCAAAAATTTCCCAGCATCACAACAGATTACACTACTTGGCAAGTAAAACCGTTCCCATATATCCATTTAGTGGTATACTTGTACTATACATTTAAAATGGACCTAGTCTCAGATATGCCAAGTGCCTGCATAGTCTATGCACACAGGTCTTCACACACAACCCTCCCTACCATTGCAGGTTAGGTGGTTATAGCCAGAATGATCACAGAGGCTGGAGTGTGAAAAAAAATTTAAAAATGTTCCTCCTGCCTGCAGCAATGCAGTTTAGACCTGAGAGGAGCATGCATATGTCTGTATATTTTAACTATAGTGATGGAATCTATTTTTGTCACAAGGGAGTGCTTTTGCCCCATATTGTGTGGTGGACTCCATTTACTACGCAGGATTCGATGTGGGGGAAGAGGTGCTCCTGGGTATACCTTGGGGTGGCACTTTGGATGTGTTGACTTACTGGGGTGTTGGAGGTTTTATTACTTTTCTTCCCTACTCTTTTGCCCTGGCAGATGTTGGCAGGATGAGCTTGCTTGAGGTTCCTGTGTGCCTAGTGGGACGTCCCTGCTGCACTATGACCTGGTGCCATTTCCAGAGGTGGAATAGTGGGCAGGGCAGTGGTCAGATGACAATTTCACAGGTCAATGTGACTATTTTGCGGGTGTGGCAATTTGAGCATCAACATCCACAGAAGGTATGGAGCGTATTTGGATATGCTGTTATTACAGTACCTCCATCTTTTTTGGCTTTATTATGAATATTATCCTTTAGGCTGTAACCTTCCCACAACATCCCTTCTCAGATATTGTGGGAACAGACGCTTCCTTTCCCTTTGGATGCCATTGTTACCTAGCTCTGGATGCTCAAAACCTAGATTTATAGCAAGTTCTTTTTTTTTTTCTTTAATACCTAAAATTAGGTGTATATGTACATACACACGGCAATAAATTGGTCCATGCACTATAGGTCCAGTTTAGGATGATAACCATTACCTTGCGATATCCTTCCAAGACCTCCTTCTGCTTTTCAAATCTTTTAAATAAATCGGAAAAGGATTTTTTCCATCGAGTTTAGGTCCACCTGAACTTGCTGTTTTTCCTCCACCACTTTATTTAGCTCTAGCTTCGCCATTTCCTTTTGTCTTTGAGAGTCCGCTGTAGGAGTAAAAATTCATGAGCAGGACAGAAGAGAAGGTTTACAATAACTGCAACTTCAGTGTTCTCCACAGAACATTGAAATCCATTCATTTCACACATACCACTCCCTATCAGCATGTTCCTTGACAGTACATTTCCATTGGCTCCCAGTCCTGCTCCTCCCACTTCTTGCCATTATAGGGGATAGTAAGAGGCTAGTACCAAGTCAAGGTACTTACATTGGTTGCATTTATAAAATACATTGTGATTACAAATTAAATGCAGAGTGACATTAAAGTATAACTAAAGGCAAAAATGTCAGTTTTGGATAGAGTGGAGATGGATTAGAACCCCAACAGTTCTATCTTTGTCGTCGTTTGGGAGATTCACCCTCTTTTGTCCTGTTATTTATTACTGAAAAGTGAAAGAAAAAAAAAAAAATCTTATTTTTAGGGTTGTTCCCAGAAAAGTAACAGAGTAAATATTCCATTGGGGATACTAGTTCTGGTGACCTTGGCGTCCAAGAGATTCATTTAATTTGCAGAGATTCTCTCACCTCCTGTTTTGACTAGTAAAGGTAAATCTCCCCAATGGGACGGGGGGAGGTTTGCCCATAGTTCTACCTTAATTTAGGTTATATTTGTCTGGCATTCAGCTCTAAAAATGGCAAGTACAAAAGAATTATCTTAGATATTAGGTCACATGAAAACCAACCAAGGCCATGGTTTATACATTACCTATTATTTGTGCAATTGTGCTTTCAAATTCAGCAACAATTTTCCTGCAATGTTAGAAGAGAATATTAAATTAACTTATGGCAATGAAGAAAACAAAAATACAAAAAATACAAAAAAACACACAAAACGTTTGTTATCTTCACAACTATTTCTACCTAGACACCTCAAAAGGGTTTGCAGGAGCAGCCAGAAGCTGTTCAGAAGAACTGGAGCAGGCTTGCGGTTCAGAGGACTTGAAATCAGGTGAGACCCAGCTGACTCAAGCTGATCTCAAAATCAAGCTGAAATGTACACAAGAGCCTGCTGATTTGCTGCATCTCCACAAGTCCATGAAATTTAAGAGCATGTGCTGCATCATTTTAAGCAATTTCTGGTTTGTATCCCTCCCCACCTACTTGTCATGCCACTAAACCCTCAAACCAAATCGAAATGTTAATTAAATACTAAATTTTATCATTTCATTTTTTTAATTTAATACCCCCCCCCCCCACTTTCTGGCTTCACACCTAGGTAAAAATAACTTATTCAATGCTTGCAGTTTCCTGGCCTACCCATGTCATGGATTCTAGTTGGCCTCAGGGCACGCTGCAGTACATGAGCCGTGTCAGGGGGCCAGCTGTCTTGTTCTTGCAGCCAGCCCACTGATAAAGTCCAAGACAGAGGCATGGAACACGTCAGAACTTTAGCTCTGAGGGAAGAAGGGGGGGGGGGGGACCCCACACACAATACCGTATTTTTCGCTACATAAAATGCACTTTTTCCCCCCAAAAAAGGGGGAAAATGTCAGTGCGTCTTATGGAGCGAATATGGAGCGGCCGGTCCGGTATTTCTGCCGCCACCACCGTGTTAGAATACCAGGCCGGCTGCTCTGCTCCTCTGCAGCTTACCTGTTCCTCGGTCCAGCGCTGTGCAGTCTGCCCACGCTGGCAACTTTAGTGCGGGCACCCGGCCTTAACAGCCGGGTGTCCACTGCACATGCGCGAGAAGTGCTGTGCTTTGTGAATGTGCTGGCGTCTTCTGGGTCACATTACTGGTCCCAGAAGACAGCGGGCCATTCACAAAGCTCAGCGCTTCTCACGCATGCTCAATGGGCACCCAACACAGCCGGGTGCTAGCACTAGAGAGGACAACTCCGCGGAAGTGGGAGCGGGTACCTGTCAAATTCAGGTACCCGCTCCCCCTCCCTCCCCAAAGGTCCGCAGTCTCTTGGCCATCCCCTGTACTGTGTGCGCAGTCTCTTGGCCATCTCCTGTACCGTGTCCGCAGTCTCTGGCCATCTCCTGTAGTCCGCAGTCTCTGGTCATCTCCTGTACTGTGTCCGCAGTCCATTGGTTCAGAATTTTTCTTGTTTTTCTCCTCTAAAACCTAGGTGAGTCTTATGGAGTGAAAAATACGGTAGTTTATGAAAACAGAATTAAGCAGATTCCCTAATAATTTTCATAAATATCGGATAGCCCGAGTTCTTTATTCGCGCTAATTTGAAGACGAAATAAAAAAGGAATATGCAAAAAAAATTAAAAAACGTGTAAATGTCAATTAAAAATATAATCAGTGATGATAAATCATAAAATCAAAATAGTTCAATTAGCTAATCAAAAATAAATGGTTACATATTCAAACCAGCAATATTATCAAATATTAATGAAATAGTTTCCTATGCTGTATTTCTAAATAGTTGGTTCTATTGGTAACGCAGTAGAATATGAGACTATGCAAGGATGTGATCGCGCTACAACCAAATATTCAAAAGCTCAAAATTTACATTGGTATGAACTGATTTAGAAAATCATATAGAGGACAATCCAACGAGCTTAGAATCTGAGGTCAATGACAAATGTTCCGCCAAGTTGTCTATTTGTTATATATAACCAAACAAACCATTGACTAAAAGCTGAAGTCAGCTTTGGGAGATATTAAAAAATGAAAATGCTCCCTCCTGAGAATTGTTATGAAGATAATTTATACTGCAATAAAATTTATTTAATCAACTCCGGTGCTAACCAAAACTGATATCAGACTAAACGGTTTAGCTGTAGATATAAGGTGACTGCAAATTGGCTACAGAAAAATTAACATTATACGTTACATAAAAGACTCTATGGTATCAGTGATGTTAGCTTTACATCAGCGGGCAAAGCTTATCTTGCCCAATTTAAGACGTCACTCTAGGTGAGATTTTCTTTACTAAATTATCCTAATTACCTAATGGGGGCAGAAAATGAGTAGGAATAATACTGGATTTTTCCTGCAAACTCTTGTGTCATGTGGGGGCAGCACAGTGGCTAAATGGTTAGCACTTCTGCCTGGTAGTACTAGGGTCGTTGGTTCAAATCCCAACCACGGCACCACCTGCCTGGAGTTTGCATGTTCTCCCTGTGCCTGCGTGGGTTTCCTCCGGGTACTCCGGTTTCCTCCCACACTCCAAAGACATGCTGGTAGGTTAATTGGCTCATGTCTAAATTGGCCCTAGTATGTGTATGTATGAATGTGAGCTAGGGACCTTAGATTGTACACCCCTTGAGGGTTAGGGACTGATGTGAATGTACAATATATATGTAAAGTGCTGCATAAATTGACAGCGCTATATAAGTACCTGAAATAAATAAATAAAATGTCAAGAGTTGACCTCTAACATCCAGCTTGTTAACAGGCTATAAATTTAAGAGGTAGTTGCTCTGTTGGCAGAACTGTTTAAACAAACTGGGACCAGTGTCATTTAAAATGATGTATTACCCAAATGATTATGAAAACAAAATTGCTATCTATACATCTTAAAGACATTCACTGAGGTCATTTGTAATGAGATTTCAGTGGCAGGGACCTTCTTGAAGTCTAGATTGGGTTTAGGCGTATTCAGACTGAGACATCTGGAGTTTAACAGCTTTGGTGTAACTTTTGGGGATTCAAACTTTATGGGATGCATTTTAATCTGAGTCTCGGCTATTTTTTCTGTGGACTTTTTAAATCTACTGCATTGCATTTATTGTATGTGGGCAAAGCATCATAAAACCCTTGGATAAATTCGGGGTTTTCTTTTTCAGTCAGGCTGCAGGCATTCTTGAGAACTGACAACTTCTCAGGGATTTTGCTTTGGCCAACATTTTAAAATACAAAATGGCTTTTAGCAGCAGCAGCTGACCAGTAGGGACCAAATTGTTTTATTTTTTATACCACTTCTGACCGTTTACACCCATCTCTCCTAGGAAAGTAAAGAAATACCTGTACTTTGGCTCAAACACCCATGGGACAAATTCAATGTTCTATTTGTCATAATTCAAACTTAGGGTCATCATCGCCTCCTCATAAGGTTTCTATGCAGGGGTGGACTGACCATTTGGAAACTAGGGCACTGCCCGAGGGCCCAGGGTCAGTAGGGGGCCCCATGAGATGCCCCTGGTACCTTTTTCATAGGCTTTTTTGAGTTTGGGCAAGGACACAGGGGCCCCATGATCCCCTATTGCCCAGGGGCCCCCCATGAGTTGTCCGTCCACCCCTGTTTCTATGTGATCAATTATACAAGACGATCCTTTAGTAAAGAGACCCACATTTTCTTTTAAGAATTTTATCACTTTAGTGGTATCACACAGGCTTCTGGGATTTTCTCTCACTTTTGGGGTGTTTTATGGAGATTGGTTTTAATTTAGGAAGAGAACATTGACTACTGGAAGGAATTTCATCCTCATCTGAGGTGTGACTTTAGTTACTCTCAGATTCTGAAGCCAGTTTGATGGCTTTACGATTTTAGGCTTCACAAAGCAGCCTGGGTGTGAGCTGCTAAAGGTTTCAATTACATTTATTCTCTGCCAAGTAGAAGGTTTAACCCTTGTATTGCTGGCTTTTGACTCATGCACCAGTTGTTGATATGCCCAGTTTTGGACATCTAACTTCTGCTTGTTAGCAGAGATTGGTATTAGTAATGCTCAACTTGTCATTTTCGTTCTAAAGTTGATTTTGTCCTTTTGCAATCACACAATTCAGAGATTTGATGATTAATTTTCTGTTTTGGAAAACTCCTTCAAATTCAATATTTCAGCTGACAATTGTTTCATCTCAACAAAAGTTTGTATATTGAACTTTCAGTGTACCATTTGCAAAGATTTTTTTTTATTAATAGATATATATTTTTGGATATTATGGCTTTTTATTTAGTCTTCAAATTAGCGCAAATAAAGAACTTGGTGTACCAGTTGATTTATGAAAATCGTTAGGTAATCTCCTTCATTCCAGATCCCTGCCTGTTTTCATAAATGATATACTGATTATGTTTTTTCAAAGCTGAAGTTCTGACAGACCAGTTGTGCTGCAGTGTAGCAGCCGATTCTTATAAACACTGTTGGAGGAGTTTTGTGTCCGTAGCCAAGCAAAAGGCCAGTTTTTCTTAACACTGGTTTGGCATTTTGGACACACTGGCTTGTATGGAGGAATAAAATGCAATAGCACACTTTGATTTCAAATACCATAGATTCTAGCCCTCACTTGAGGGAGGACACCCACCTCCCTTCCCAACTTGATAGTGGATGAAAAGTCCAGTAGATTAAAATCTTACCCCATCTCCACGTATTCCATGTAGAGTTTTTCATGCTTATTTTTCCATTCTAAAATCTCCAATTCTTTTTCCTGAACCTAGAAAAAGAAGGTATAAGCTCAGCAGATCGTAAAAAAGTAAACAGAGTAAAAAAGAGTAAAGTGAGCAGAAAAATAAAACAAAAAAACCCACCACACAAAAATGATTGCCCCCAAACCAGTGATTAAAGATACAACCATCATAAGGCATTCCAGTTTCAACATTCATTTGCTGATCAGAAGATCTCAAACATCCAGGGAAATTTTTCCTGACAAGGAATAAGTAGTGTGATAAGGCCACAGACCCCTCAGTCAAAGCGCTTTCCTTTTACATATAAGACCCTCCCAGTGATAGAGGGAAAAAAAATTGTTGCAAGTCTTATCCTACAAATGTACAAGACAAGCTTGATGCACACATGAAACTCTGCAATAGTCCTATCCCTAGTTGAGAGATGGCGTCCTGTAAAAGAATCACCGATTAGGGAACATCGGGGTTGTTCTATGGCAGATCATGCAGCAGAGGTAGTGAGCCAGTCAACAGTTAATAGCTTCAAACATGCTTGGGACAAGCATAGATCTACTGTATACTCAAAGTGAAGAGAATCCCCCTTCCCCCAAGAAGAAAGAAAAAAAAAAAAAAAAAAAAACCACATGGGCAGACTTGGACCACTTGGTCTGTCGTTTTTTTTCTTCAAGAAACTGAATTTTCAGGGCAACCTGCATTTTGAAACCCTAGAAACCTGATTGACCACCCAACACATTTTATTAGGTCTAATTTTTAAGAGTGCTTCGGCAATCTCCCATGTTATTTGCCCCTGCCACAGTTTCCAGCAAGGATCCCCCTGAAGCTGCAATAAGCAGGCAAGCTACCTGTCCTATCTAATGGTATGCATGATCCAAATCTAAAAAAGGTGACATGACAACTTCTGGAATGGTACTATCGCTGTGAGATGACAATTACTCAAGGTCTCTTAAATCTGTCTGGCATGATCTCAAGATAGTATGCTTTATCTGTACTCCATTTTCTTTGGATATCTCCGTAATATTTCTAGTTATACGGCAGAAATGTTTTTCTATATAATTTTGGTACATTGGGGGCGGGGAAAAAAAAAAAAAAAAAAAAAAAAAAAAAAAGACGGACATCAGTTGCCAGGGCAGAAGCTGGCATAGAACAAAATACCAACCCCACAGCATCAATGGAAATCGGTCATGATTTTGACACAGGGATTGTCATGTATATCCATTTGATCCATCCTAGCAAGCCACTCACCTCTTGCCGAACTTTCTCTATAGCTGCATCCATGTCCTTCTGACTGAACTTGAGAACCTCCACAATTGCCCCCACATCAGGTGGTAGGAGGAAGGGGTCTGGTCTAGACAGTAAATCCGCACAGTCTGGAATTAAAGGTGCCGTGTCCTGGGGAAGATGAAAAAGGCTATTCAGACAGGTCTGCTCTACAAGTAACTGAACACCTCACCGGAGTAGCTGTTTGTTTGTACAGCTCACTGTTACTACAGCAACAATGAATACAAGGAAAGCCACTACAGAGAGGTAGAGGTGAAAGTGACAACAGCTACTGGCAAAGTCCAATTCTGTCACACCAATACTCTGCCAGCAAAGTACAACACATCCAACCAGTCCTTAAACTGAACATGCTCGCTATAGTACAGACCAGATGGCTTGGTAAGAGGGCGTCTGCCACCGCCTGCATTATTCTGAATAGTTCAAACCATTATTTTACATTTGCATACTTTTTTGCAAATTAGTTAAATATCTGTTCTGGGTTCATGGAGACTATACCAACTACCCAATGACCCTTGCAACAAAGTATCAATTTCTCATCCCCTCCAAATCAAAAAACCAAAGTGATGCCACCTGATTTGGTTGTCTTAATTTGCAAATCACCGCAAGAAAAAGGATTGTCCATCTATAATGAACTATGGAAAGAACACAGGAAAAAGTACACCCTGCAAGCAGAGGATTGCCTCAGTGGATGACATTGCTTCTGGATGTTCATCGCCTCCTCATAAGAATAGGGAACAGTTAGAATTTAATTTCAGTATTTAATATAGGTTTCAAAAACTTTAGCAGCCATGGCCTCCCATGGCCACCAATCAGCTGGGCAAGTACCATTAGCATGAATTCAGCTAGGGGCAGGAGGTTCTGAACGGTGTAAAGCTACTTTCACATTGCTCCATTGCAAAAACGTATATGCGTTATTACCACACTTCCAGTGCGTTTTGCACTTGTGAAAAAAGGACAAGCGACTCAAACCGAGGGTGCGTTTTCCATTCATTTTAATAGGGAGGTGCATTGGGTGCTTTTTTTTAATGCACCAAACATGCGCCTAAAAATGCAGCTTACAGGATTTTGGTCAGTTGCGGGTCCATTGCATTTTTCAGTGTTAAGAGTTCAGTATGATTTAAAGGTCATGCGTTTTTCTTCTGCTTATTTGTTTTGGCATTTAAAAAGGGAAGAGGTGATTGTAGCCGTATTAGTGCATTTGCGACAAACAATTGAGTACTGACGTGATACTTTTTTTTATTTGCACTAACATACAATTTTGAGGACAAGCTTTCGGGGTATGTCCCCTTCTTCAAGGTCCAAGCAGTACTATTACAAAGTTTTAGCAAAATGTTAGAAGAGATGTGGGGGATGAGAAAAAAAAAAAAAAAAAAAAAAAAAAAAAAAAGCAGAAACACAAGCCTAGGGTTAAACTAGAGATAAGACACAGCAAAGCAAAAGCAAAGACTGGGGGGGGGGGGGGGGGAGAACAACACTCACGGAGGGAGTCATAATATTGGATAATGAGTGAGGAATCCCATGTCAGAATTAAGGCCTCTCGTGTCAAATAGAATTGTCATTCTTAGTTCAAAAGTTTTTCTTTCCTGAATGGATTTGAAATTTCCTTTATGAACTAAAACATTTATTTCATCCCCCACATCTCTTCTAACATTCTGCTAAAACTTTGTAATAGTACTGCTTGGACCTTGAAGGGGACATACCCCGAAAGCTTGTCCTCAAAATTGTATGTTAGTGCAAATAAAAAAAGTATCACGTCAGTACTCAATTGTTTAAAAAGGGAAGAAAAACTGATCAATGTGAAAGCAGCTTCAGGTGGCCCATATCAGTGGAGAACAGAATTGAGATTCTACAAATGACTTTCTTTGTGCTCCACTATAAAGTCCATAATGACTGATTTGTTACTATACTGTAGTCAGGCTTCATAAACTTTAGTATCTTTTTTTTTGTTTTTTAAAGCCCTAGTGTCCTGTGGTAAAAGCACATTTGATGGGCAGCAGTCTGGATCTCAATGCACAGTAGTCCAGATCACCAATTTCAGACACACACCCCCCCTGAATGATGCTTTAAAGTGGTTGTAAAGGCTGAAGGTTGTACATGCTGCACCCCCACGCGCCCCCCCCCCCCCCCCCTATACTCACCTGAGGCCCCTCTTGAGCCAGTGGTGTGCTCGGGAGCCTCGGCTGTCCCGGATCTCTCGCTCTCCTTGTTGCCGGAGACACAGCATCAAGAGCCATTGGCTTCCACTGCTGTCAAAGCCAGTGAGCCAATGAGGAGAGAGAGCGGGGCTGAGCTGCAGCTTTGTCTTCTGGACACAGAGCGGGACTCGGGAGCTAGCATGCACCAGTGCCCCATAGCAAGCAGCTTGTTATTCGGAGCACAGGTCAAGGTGGAGGAGCCAGGAGCACCAGAACCCAAGAATAGAATTTGGGCTGCTCTATACAAAAACCGTTGCATAGAGCAGGCAAGTATGACATTAAAAAAAAAAAAAAAAACACACCCATTAGGCTGCTGGCACATGGATATTTAACAAAAGGCTGCAGTACACAAGAAGGGGGGGGGGGGGGGGGGGGCGATGGCAAATGCACACCCTTTACTGTATACAGCACTAATGCATTACAATAATAAAGTGGGCTTTAAGCCAAGCAGCACAGTGCCAACCCAGCTCCAGAATGCTCGGGAAAGACACAAAAAAAAAAACCCCAACACACGCACACACTACAAACTGGTTATACAAGTAAATTCTACGTTTATCACCCAAACGATGGCAATTGTCTGGTTACACAATGCCTGCAGGTGTGGGAGTTAAAGTCGGCACAGAACTTACAGCTACAGTAAACGTCCCCAGGAGGTCGAGGCCTTTAGGCTTCTCTTCAATTTCCAGGTTCAGAGCAGCAGGGTAAGTCGGTTTAGGCAAGGCTCCAAAGAGCTCCAAGCTGCAATTGGTAGAGACAATTTTAATAAAAGCATCTTGTGTTTCAGGAAAGTGAACAGATGGTGCGGCACCTACTTGCTGCGCAGAGGTAAGCTGCACATCAGGTCACTGTCTGGAGCAGCACACTTCTTAGGAGACTCTCTCAGCAGAGGATCAAATTTCAGATACAGGGACTGCTTTCTCAGAGCAGAATCTTTGAACTGAAACAAAAAAAAAACCAAAAAAAAAAAAAAAACTTGAACCAATACACATGGTGATGAAACATTATCAACAGACCAGGAAGGTTATATGTATCAATTATGTATGGAAGAATGCTTGGAACAGGTGGGTCATGTAGGAGAATTAGTAACACTTACTAAAGAGGTTCCAAACTTCTCAAGATAATCAATTTCTATTGGCTGGTCAAATCCAACTGAAAAAAAAACCCAAAAGCCCCAAAAGGCAAAATTAATTCAGCATTAACACATTGAAAAATACTAGAGCAATGTAACGGGTGGCAGTATGTAAGTTTTTACAATGTAATTGTGCTTTCAAATCACTTAGGGGTCACATATACCTAAACCAATCTTTATTTATAGAATAAAACCTTCCCCCATACTTTTTTTGCATATCTGGCCTGCTGATCTGCAGACTTTTGCACATTTTTCAGTGCAGGTTAATCAATGTGATGTATTTATTGCAACATGTGACAGTGACAACAGTGAAGACAGAGCATGTATTCCAATATACATAGGCTGCAGATTAAAAATACTGAGAAGATTAAAGCACAGTTAAAAACACAAAACCAAAAAAAGTGTAAAATGTTGGTGCTTATCAATCACATGTGGTGGCTGCACCTTTTACCTTGATTGATGCAAGCCACAGCATTGTTGGACTAAACTTATTAAGTGCCCCCAAAACCAAGTCATCCAATAAAGAATGAACAAGTTTTTTTAGCTCCAGGACAAAGGATCAGAAGTCCATCGACAACCATGTCTCTAGGACCATAGCTGTTCCTAGCCCAACAAGCCGGCATCCAGTGAGAACCATCCAAGACCATGGAAGGAAGATTTCCCCAGACCAAGCATTGTGCTGGTAGCCATCACAACAAAGCCAAACCTTGTGCAAGAGGTGCATGGAAAGATCCAGAGTGAATAGTCTGGTTCCACATGGCCAGAATGCAGAGCTGTAATGTGCAGGAATACAATGGTGCCTACAGTGGTGTCTTAAAGGAGGTCACCATGAAGCCTAGGACCTTAATACAGAGCCACAGACATCTCTTGGACTGGCTTGAAAGGAACAGAGACACCATCTTGTCCTGAGGGCAGGACAACCTGGCCTGGTCCCTGTTCAGTATCAGACTCAGACACTCCAGGTACCAAGTCTGCACCAATACTGGGCTTTGAGGTTGGTGCCACCTGAAGCTCTAAAGTTTGTGCAGTCTAATTCCTGGTCTGACAGACTGAACTGATTGATCCTGAAGATTGTTCAGAGTGCAATGAACAGGGCAAGGACAGTAACAAACATCCCTGTAAAGACCCGTGAAGCCATTGCGTCTGAAGGGGAGGAGTCAAGAACTCCATCTAATTTTCTATTCATCTTGACAGTAACAGGCTGCATTCAATCCCCCAAATCCAGAGCAGGAGAGCATCCACTTTCCCGCCCTGCTCTTTTAAAGCATGATCATTGCACAAGGATTCTCAAAAACCCTTCATCCCACAGGAGCTTCTACAATTTTTTTTGGAGGAACATGCTTATGTATCAGCCAGAGTTTTTACAAATTTGGCATCAACGTCATGTCTTAAAGTTTTACCAAACCCACAACAATAAAATCAGTCTGTATATGCAGTAAAGCATGCTTGTTATACCCACTGTGGAAACCGAAGGGGTTAATCCTCTACATTGTGTAAAAAGGCCGTTTGATCCTGTCTTCTCTGATCCTCCCCTTCTACTGTCCCCAATCCACCTGCTGATAGTACACAGCTCTAGAAGTCACTAGCAACACACACCAAACTGAGCATGTGCAGAGTTTTTTTTTTTTTTTGGGATGGTGCATGAAATCAGCACAGGGCCAATCAGTGCTGTCCAGACAGAGGGTCAGCCTCATAGGACAGAGGGGAATGAAAACTCCTCCTACATAGTTAAACAGTGTTCAGCTGAACACTGAAAAGTCACATGACTGCTATATACTGCTGATGAGAAAAGTATTTAGCAGTTTATATTTACTAAAATAATTGCATTTCCATGTTCTGTGTACTGTGGGAGACCAGATATAGTGAATGCAGAGTCATGAGTTTAGTAACACTTTAAACCGTACTTAAGCTGAAGATAAATCCACCTATGCCAACGGAAGTGTATCTTACAAGTTTGACAGTCTGGGACTGTTTGTCAAGTTCCACTACTGCTACATGGTCAGAACACAAAAGAACGAATTTATATAGCACAGTGTTACATGGCCGAACATGGTCTCTGGATCTTTGACCCAAGCCTAGCCTGGTTTGCTGGAGACTTGCTATATACTAGGATTGTTGTATCCTGAGACTATGTGGACCATTACACCAAGAGACAGGTACAAATTCAGACTCAATGGGCCCTTTGAGACTGACCATTTTTATCTTCAACAGGATTCTCTACTGCAGCCTTTCAACCAGGGTGTCTTGAGGTTTCCTCAGGGGTGCCTTGGCAAAATGTCTAAAAATTGCCCATAGCTTGTATACAAGCCAGTGGGTGCAACAAGCCTGCCTTTTAGTTACACAAAGCCACAGGTTTTCATGGTGCACCATTACCACCTTCTAGCCGCCGGCATCCTGACAACCAATTACATAATCAGTTGATAAAAAGGATACGAGTTGCCTGCAGAGTATCCTAAGCTTGACCCTCCCATTCCCTTCTCAGTCAGTGTTGGAGTCACATTAGCTCAGTGATGAAAAAAAAAAACTGAGGGAGAGGAGAAACATAGGAATACTGGTCAGTACCAGTGTGCAAAAGGTATTTGCTTTGGGGGAAAAAAAAAAAAAAAAAAAAAAAAAAAAAAAAAAAAGACTAATGTTGGGTGTCCTACATGTGTGGATGTTGCTACGTTGTAAAAAATTAGAATAGTTTTTCACATTTTAGAATGGGGTGCCTCAAGACTGTCCAAAATTTTAAAGGGTGCCTTCACTGAAAAAAGGTTGAGAAACCCTGCTCTACTGTATTAGCCACAGGTGTTATCAGTTTGTCTTTGAGGTCATAGCATAGCAAAAACCTCAATTAAAAAATTAAACAAACATTCTAAAAAAGGATGAACACTGATGTGTAGGCAACATTGTGGGACTTGCCAAGTACATGACTGGGCCTTTTAGCTGTATGTATTTCAATGAAAAACATGGACCTATATCCAGAATTTGTTTAATCAATTTATACCTAAATTAATGTTGATAGATTTTTGGATTGTTTGATCCCATCTTCTCTGCTCCTCTTCTTGTAAATAAATGTCCACTTCTTATCTCCTGATAAGACAGACTGAATCTGTAGCCATTCTGCACTCAGTTTGGTGTATAGGCTAGAGAGGTTTTTTCCTTGGGAGAGTGCATGTGATCAGCACAGGGCCAATCAGCACTGTCCAGACAGAGGTCAGGGGTTTTGCATCCTCCTAGAGCAGAATGAAAACTCCTCCTATAAGCTTTAACCAGTGCTCTGCTGAAGTCACAAGACTGCTCTAACCGCTAATGAGAAAAGGTATTTAGCAGTTTATATTTACTAAAATAATTGCACTTCCATGTGTGTACTGTGGGAGACCAGATAGAGTGAATGCAGGGTCCGGGGAGACCAGATAGAGTGAATGCAGGGTCCGGGGAGACCAGATAGAGTGAATGCAGGGTCCGGGGAGACCAGATAGAGTGAATGCAGGGTCCGGGGAGACCAGATAGAGTGAATGCAGGGTCCGGGGAGACCAGATAGAGTGAATGCAGGGTCCGGGGTTTAGTATCACTTTAATGTTGTAGGAGCTAGACATACCTAGAATTTCAAAATGTGGGATTTTAGTCACAGCTAAAATTTTCATTCAACATTTCACATTATAGCAATGGAAGACACTTTATGGAGATGAGGCACCAGGGCAAGGAAATTGGTCTGTTTCAATCCAGAAGCCTGACAAGACAACTCTGATGGTCCCCCATACAGGGCGCTTGAATTTTATTTACTGAAAGCACAGCCCAGCACAATAAAATTGGATTTAAAAAAAAAAAAAAAAAATTTAACTGAGTCAAGTGGAAAATTGCCTCCGCAGCAACTGCATCCCAGCAGATGCAGACACTGCTCAGCAGCACTACCGTATGAAGGCAGATGATGTGGATGCCTATATACTGTACAGTACATATAATAGCACCAGTGGGGAGTCTGTCCAACTGCATCAAAGGGGAAGCTGCTTTTTTTTTTTTTTTTTTTTTATCCCTGACCAAACAGGGTTTTAGAACCCCACCTACAGGAGTTGGACGGGGACACACACACACACACACACACACACACACAACGGGCTGTCCTCCCTGGGCATATAACCCCCTTCTCTGCTATAAGGCTCCAGTCAGTCACAAGCAGTGTCAAAGGAGAAAAACTCCATATTGGGGTGGATGCTGTGTCCATCAATGGACTCAGAAAAGGATTTTATGATGAAGAAAAAAAAAAAAAATCCCAATAGAAACAATATAATAAAAGTGCAGTGCTAAAAATAAGTATGATCATAAAATCTCATAAAAAGGATATTAATAAAAGTTCATAAATTATCACCACTAACGCCCCAGGATCCTTTGACCCCCCCCCCCTTCCCATTACCTGGCTGTTCCTGAGGTCGTCTGGGATTACACTTATATTCGCATTTAAATTGCGCATCCTGTGAGTGCGCAATTCTATAATCACTGCACAGACACCGGCTTACCAGGACATCAAGCACTTTAAAAGCACTATAGTCACCTTTGGACTTATCATAATTTATGAACTTTTATTAATATCCTTTTTATGAGATATTTTATGATCATACTTATTTTTAGCGCTGCACTTTTCTTATATTGTTTCTATTGAGGTTTTTCTTGATTACCTTCGTGCATAGCTGCTTTTACATTTTAGTGCGCTCACATACTCCTATTTTATATTAAAAAAAAAATTCTGTTTTCTTACGTTCATTAATGGACACAGCTGTTTCTTTATCTTTGACGAAAAAGATGTCCCAAAGCTGTGCCACAATGAGGGGTGAACAAACCAACTAATGAAGAAAAAACCCAGGGTAACGAACCAATATTCCAAACCACCCCGGGGGGGCACCAGAGTATCCTAAACAGCCCCCTGTAAAACCTTGCAGCCAAAACGAGCAGAGCATGCTCAACAATCACCTGTATAAAAATGTCAGAAGCAAGAGCTCAGATGACCAGGTTGCCACCGTGCAAGCTTGAGACAGATGCCTGATGTCGAAAAGCCCAGGAGGCGATAATCGCCCTGGAGGAAAGGAGGATCCTGCCAAATCCAGACGGGAAATAGTGGCAGAAAAGGTAGCCATGCTATTCCTTGGCACGTGCGAGACCCCAGCAGAGAATCAGACCTCCAGGAAGCGGCCATCAGAGAAGTACACATAATAACCCAACCTGGAGCCTATAGCAAAGATGGGGCTTTATGCCTAGAGAGGACTGCCCATCGCAGATGCTGAGTCTTTTGGCCTAGTGTCCTACTCCTGTAGACTGGGCTATAAAGCCCTGTTTGGTGATGAATAAAGCAGCAGCAGCAGCTGTGTCAATGAATGCAGCTTTCTTGAAGCATTAAGGCATCCTTCAGCTTCAGTCTATGAAAGCTTAACAGAGACCTTTAGCCCTGGTTCACATATATGCGGCCGTGCGGACTGCGTTTTGCACAGGCACGAGAGCCCATTCATTTGAATGGACTCCCGTGCCCCAGGACACGTAGGGAAGTCCCTGCACTTCTTTGGAAACCGCAACCTGAATGGGAACCTCTGTTCCCAGTGCAGTTGCAATTTCCAGTGCAGGCGGCATGCCATTAGAATTAATGGCACCCACCCGTGGGTCCGCATTCTTCTGTGCGGGTGGTGCGGCTGCACGGATTTTTGTGCGGATCTGCAGCAGCACCACCCGCACAGATGTGAACCAAGCCTTAGTGCAGATTATAGCAAGATTTGTTCACTGCGAAAGGTAAACATGCAACTACTGAACTTCACTCCTACTCAATGCCATCCCCTAAGTTTGTTTGCAATGCTTCTAAAAACTACCGCCCCAGAAATATAAAATCCAGCTGTCTGCAAAAATTATTCTATTTGTAATTTTTGTCTCCATGAAAAAAAAAGAAAAAAAAAAAAGTTTTGGCCATACTTTTCTGGGTCCCAGGAGTGCCCTTACTGGTGCCAGCATGTGACCCAGAATCATCTGCGGCAAGTTGTGGAAGGATCCTGACAATGCTGGGATCCACCCAGCTGCCTTTATCTCTCAGCAAGCAACAAAGCCAAAGCTGGCTGTGCCCACCCCGCTCCAGCCCAGCACTCCAGTAAGCATTGGAGAGGTATCACATTGATGTTTCAGCATGGAGTGAGCATACTATACACGTTTTCACATTTGTTTGCCCCAAATGTTTCCTTTACATTTTAATCTGGTGTAGCATTTCATCTGGCCACAAAGCAGCAAAGTTTACAATAAGCTGAAATAATCAAGCTAGATCTCTCAGCATCGGACTTAGAAATCTCCCTCATGGGACGCAGTTTAAGGTGTATTCTCGGACTGCGATCCGTAGTTGTATTTGCTATGCCTTATTCTTTAATAAAATATTTTTGGAGAAAAAAGAAATCTCCCTCATGGTCTGTACTGACAGCTGACAACCACCTAGAGAGATTGAAAGGCAAACGGCCTGGAGTGACTCACATTCTGTAGCAGGCTTAAAGTCCATCTCCTCAGCTGGTTTAAAGTCTAGTTCTAAGGCAGCATTGAAATCCATATCCAATGCTCCAAGCTGTGGATTTGAAAAAATCATTGGATCTGGCAGCACACTGTTAATCTGTGAGAGATTCTCATCAACATGAGGGGTGTTATCCTCTTGAACCACAGTTAAGTCCGTGCTCTCATCCTAAAAACAGAAGATGTGAAGAAAGTCAGTGGGATTGTACACAAAATCATCCAGTATAGGTCTGAAGAAAAGAGGTGGATACAGCAGTACCTTTTGTTCCGGATAAGTATTCTCGCTGCCTATGCTCACAGGTTTGTCCTCGGTCATGGAACATTCTTTGGGAGGCCTGTAATGTTCAAGCAGAGTTTACTACAGACCACAATATCTAGCCTCAGTATATATGCATACCCATCCAGAAGTGGCTCCATGCTAGATTTGGCAATGGAATACTGAGCAAATTTTGCAAAATGCCGACTGAGATGACATTACAAGTTGTATGCCACCTATACTAATGGCATGGCTAAATTAGAAGTGGACAACTTAAAATAGAGAAAAAAAAAAAAACCTGAAGCTAGTTCTGCTTTAACACCCCGGTCACATCAAACCTGACTTTGAAATCGTCTTACAGTGAAGTCGAATGACTTCAAAGTTGGGTGAACTGCCGATTTCAGGCACAATTTGCAAGAAGACATCTGACATGTCTATGCAAAAATTGCACCAAAAAGTAGTGCATGTACTACTTTGGAAATCAGTGCGGAAGCACACCAATATAACCGATGTAACTGCGGACAAGAGGGAGCGACTTGGCATGTGATTTGCAAATCACATGGCATGCAAATCGCATCCAGTGCGACCGAGGTGTAAAGTGGATGCCAGCCAAGTATTACAGATACTGTATCCCAAAGAAATTAAAGGACTTCCTCCCCTGATAATACCTTCCATCTGCTTCCCTCCTTCCCACCACCTTCACTCAGGCATCATTCAGGGCTAGCACCTGGTTCTGAACCATTTCCAAAACATGACAGCCCTGCTGCTGCAGTGATCACTGGATTAAAATAGTCTGTTACATGAGGAAGCATTTCCTCATATTTCTCCCCATTTGACTGAAGCAGTTATCTGCTTAGGGCAAAAGGCTGTTTTGATGGTGAAAGTGCACCTTTTTAAAAACAAATACACATCGTGATAAAGGTAGAATTTAAAATTGCAGACTTTTTAAAAAAAAAACTGGGGTACTGATGGGGTCACTTTAACCGCTTTCCTGCCGCCCTATAGCAGAAATACTGCTACAGGGTGGCAGAGCTGCGCAAAATCACATATATACACGATTTCACATTTCCACATTCGCGCCCCCTACCCACGTCACCATTGTTGGCCTCAGCTGTCGATCACCGGGTCCCAGCCAGTGATTCCTCACCAACACCCAGTGATCACTGACGGGGGAGAGACCTGTGTGTAAACAATACAGATCTCTCCCCTGTCAGTCAGCTCTTGCACATTGCTTTGTATTGCTCTGCATAGTGAAAGGGGTCTTATGTAGGGAGAAGTGGACAGAAAGGCACCATGAACCTGACACTCCCAAAGAGGGTCTTATTCTGAAGACAATTTAGTCAGTAGCTCCAGTTGCTCTTTAACACAGCAGATTGGCAGCGTAGGAAGGGCAAGTATCGTCCATCTTTCCAAGTGATATTTTACACGTTTTAGCAAGAGTGGCTTAAAGCTGAACTCCCAGGGAAAACTAATCCTACCTTGTAGTTGGGCTGCCCAAACATTGCAATGATTAAATGCTTATGCCTAGGGTAACAGAATGCGCTCTCACCTTATCCCCACACCCGCAGTCTTATTCCCCTATGCACCACCAGTCACAGGTCCAATGACAGCAGTTACAATGCTGGACCCATAGCCTGCAACAGGACTCAGAGGTCCCGCAAGAATGTAGGGGGAAGAGGGGCTAGCTTCATCTGTGATCAGGTAAAGTGAAACATTTTTTTCTGGTACCCTAGACGAGCCTCTCAACCAGGGTAGCCAGGCACCCTGGGGTTCCTTGAGGTTTCTTCAAGAGGGCCTTGGCAAAATGTCTAAAAATTGCCCAAAACTTGCATATAAGCCTATAACTTGCATATGTGGTGGAACAAACCTGCCTTTTAGTTACACAAAGCCACAGGTTTTCATTGTGCACCATTACAACCTTCTAGCCACCGGCATCCTGACAACCAATCACATCAACTGATGAGGATGTCAGCTGGATGCACAGCATCCTTGTTTTCCCTTCCCCTTTCGGTCAGTGCTGGGGTCACATTAGCTCAGTTATGGATAAAAACTGAGGGAAGAAGAGAAACACTGGCATACTAGTCAGTACCAGTGTGCAAAAGTGTATTTGCTTTGGAAGAATAAATCCCCTCTAATGTTGGGTGTCCTACATGTGTGGATGTTGCGGTTAGAATAGGTTTTTCACATTGTAGAATGGGGTGCCTCAGGACTGTCCATAATTTTAAAGGGTGCCTCAGAACTGTCCATAATTTTAAAGGGTGCCTTGACTGAAAAAAGGTTGAGAAACACTGCCCTAGACATAAATGAGCATTTAATCCTTGCAGTGCAAAAGCAGCTCCCCACAAGGGAGGTTTTTGTCTCACCTGGAGAATCCAGACTGCCCACCTTTTGTTTTGTTTCCAAATCAGGTAAATTGATAAAGTGGAAAATGAATCAAATACCAGAGTCCTCATGCTATAATATGGTACTTACTCCTCAGCTGGTTCAGATAATGTGGATTTACTGGCTTCATTATTTTCTACTGATGAGACAGTAGCTACACTTGCTGCTTCTGCTTGAATGTCCACTTTCTCTACATCTGGATCTTCACTTGTAATCTTGGGGGCTTTAGGTGAAGCAACCATTTTGGATCCCCCACATCCAAAAGGATTAAAATTGGGATCATCAAACTTATCCCAGTCAAAGTTGTAAGAAGCTTTAGGAGCAAGAACTTCATCTTCAGGTGGTTTTGGAGGATCCTGCTCCTTTGGCTTCTCAGGTACTGTTTCTTTGGCCACTGGTGGCTTCTTTGCTGAAGTTTTTACAGGTGGTCTCTTCCCCAGTTTTTTAGGTGGCGGCTTACGAGGGGCATCACTACCGCCAAAATCAAATTCAAGCTTCAATGGCTCCGCTTTATCACCTTCACCTTCTTCTGGGACAGGTTTTTTTGGAGAATTCTGCAGCTTTGAACTTCCAGTATTAAAAGGATCTATGGAATCAATCTGATCTGGATCAAAATTGTAGGACCCTTTTGGAACTGGTGGAGAGCTAGGAATATCAGCTTGTGCACCCTCACCTACACCCTCAGTAACAGCAGCTGGTATTGCATCGTCTATAGCATCAGCTCTACCACCTTCCTTCTCGGCTGGAAAGATATTCTTGTCTTCATCAAGAGTTGGATTTGATGACAAACTCTCCTGGACATCAGTGTTAACCATCAGAGGAACCGTGTCATCTAATCCAGATTTAGCAGAAGTATCTAAAACATTATCTCCTGGAGTAAACTGTACAATAACTGGAGAATCTGTTATATTTGGACTTGTTTTAAAAGTTGCTACATTTTCCATGACAATACCAGCACTATCAGTGGCCTCAGACAAGCCTTTAACTTCTAGATCAGCCAGAGAATCTGGGGCATTTGTTGGGTCACAATCTGGTTTCACAGGAGAATTCTGCATCATATTCATACTTTTGAATGGATTAATCTCATCCAATTTATCAAAGTCGATGTTATAGGCACCAATGCTTCTAAATAGGGTTTCATCTTCAGTGTGGGTTGGGGGATCTTTTGTGACAGCTGTGGCTTCTGGTATTACACTGCTGAGGCAAAAACATAAAAATAAATAGAAATTAAAGAAGCCCATACTTAAAATAACTAAAACATAGAAGAGGTCTTCATAACAAGGCAAGAAAAGAATGATTAAAGTGTTACTAAACCCACAAAAGTAAAAATCAGTCTGTATATGCAGTAAAGCATGCTTGTTATACACTCTGTGGATCCTAAGGGGATAATTCTCCATATTGTGTAAAAAGGCGGTTTAATCCTGTTTTCTCTGATCCTCCCCTTCTGTCCCCAATCCACCTGCTGATAGTACAAAGCTCTGGAAGTCACTCTGCACATGCTCAGTTTGGAGTGTATTGCTAGAGAGTATTTTTGGGAGGGTGCATGTGATCAGCACAGGGCCAGTGCTGTCCAGACAGAGGGTCAAGGGTTATGCAGCCTCAAAGGACAGTCAGAGGGGAATGAAAACTCCTCCTACATGATTAAAGAAAAAAAAAGGGACAGCGCAGGTGAGAACATCACTGGACCCTGGGACAGGTAAGTGTGCTTATTGAAAGTCAGCAGCTACAGTTTTTGTAGCTGCTGACTTTTATTAAACACAAAAACAGCTGGAACTCCGCTTTAAATAGTACTTAAGCTGAAGCTAAATCCACCTATGCCAACCAAAGTGTATCTTCCAAGTTTGACAGTCTGGGGCTGTTTTTTCAAATTACTACTACATGGTCTAAACACAAAAAAAGATCGAATTTATATAGCACTGTATTACGAGCCAAACATGGCCTCTGGATCTTTGATCCAAGCCTAGCCTGGTTTGCTGGAGACTTGCTATATACTAGGATTGTTGTATCCCGAGACTATGTGGACCATTACACCAAGAGAATAGACCGGCACAAATCCAGGCTCAATGGGCCCTTTGGGACTGACCATTTTTATCTTCTCTCAACTGCAGCCTCTCTACTGTATGACAGGTGTTATCAGTTTGTCTTTGATGGTCATAACATAGCAAAAACCTCAATTAAAAAATTAAATAGTCTAAAAAGGATTAACGCTGATGTGTAGGCAACTTGTGGGGCTTGCCAAGTACATGACTGGGCCTTTTAGTTGCATACATTTCACTTTATATAGTTGCATGGATTTCAGTGAAAACCATGGACCTATATCCAGAATTTGTTTAACCAATATATACCTAAAGGTCATGGATTTTTGTCTACCTATAGTTCAGCTTAAATAATGTAAAGGACTTAACACATACTGATAGAGTTTGGGATGTTACATCTCTTAGGCTCTGTTCACACTTGTGACTCAAAGTGGCACAATTCCAGCACACCTTTGGAGTGACTGATGTGACTTTACACTCTCTGGCACTCAAGTCGCATCACAGTAATGCAATAAGACACATAGATCCAAACAGGTGCCATTCAAAACAATGGACTGACTGGTCATGTGACCGTCCAAAAGTGTTAAGCCTTAAAGAAATCTGAGCAAATTGTTTATTTCCCCATACTCGTTTCGG